GCAAGTCTTTTTGAATGCGACTGTGTTGCTCAAAGCCGCTTTGAGAGACTTGTGGATTTACAGAGCAGGATGAGCATTCTAAATAAAACAGACCATTTTCAGGAGGATTGTGGCAAGGAAGGAAATTCCCCAGTGCCCTGGAATTAAAGATTAAGAAGCGGGGGGAGGGGGGCAGTGCTGAGATCCATTGATGCCCCACCCAAGCATGGGACATAATCCACTTGTGCTGCCATCAACTACAAAATAGAAGCTGCACAGACTTTGTCCCCATCCTGCTGTCAAGTGGTTGAGAAGAGATGGGATTACCCTTCAGCAGTGGGGCTGAGCTTTGACTTAGGTGGGGAAAGTAGCTCTGCCTTGAATTCAGAAAGTCGCTACCTCAGCCACAGTACCGAACCTCTAAATTGGGAGGCCACAGAAAGTTTTTGTGAGGTTGTGTTATGAGAATGGTTACGTCACAAAAGTAATAACATCATCAGCATCCAGTATACCTGAAGGAGCGTCTCCACCCCCATCGTTCTACCCGGACACTGAGGTCCAGCGCTGAGGGCCGTCTGGCGGTTCCCTCACTGTGAGAAGCCAAGTTACAGGGAACCAGGCAGAGGACCTTCTCGGTAGTGGCACCCGCCCTGTGGAACACCCTCCCACCAGATGTCAAAGAGAAGAACAACTACCAGACTTTTAGAAGACATCTGAAGGCAGCCCTGTTCAGGGAAGTTTTTAATGTGTGACATTTTAATGTATTTTTCATCTTTATTGGAAGCCTCCCAGAGTGGCTGCGGAAACCCAGCCAGGTGGGCAGGGTACAAATAAATTATTATTATTATTATTATTATTATTATTATTTAAAAAATGGTAGTAACTGTTCAGCATTACTGCACAAGAAGCCTTTATAGCATGATTATTCTTTTACCAGTATTCTATTCCTTTAAAATTACTGATCTCCCTGTATTCTTCATGCCTGATGGTGGAATGAGAAGAATGGACACCGAAAAGCAGTAACAGTTACCTGTAAGTTATAATCCTGAAGAATTTTTACCAGTGAATCTCTCAGGTTTGGAATCTCCATGCCTTCCTTAATGCGGTGGATCAGGAGGATGGGGTCAACGTGGGTCCCAATGTTATTTAACAAGCCGGTAATAAAAGCTGTAGAAACACAAGGGGGGGGGGGGCGTAATCTGAAACCTAAGCATAATGTTGAACTGCCTTTCTGAGACAGGCCTAGTCTTTTAACTGCATGTACTGCTCTCTAAAAAAAGAAAAGATAAAGAAAACAGTATGCTGGCACATCTAAAGTGGGAGAGATCTCACTAGCAAGAGGCCTAGTTTTCAAATTTACATTTTATAAAGCTACGCATAGAAATAAAGGTCGCATACCGTATAAACAAGCTGCAATAAACTTGAGATATTCTACCGAACTATACCTTGGGTCGACAAACATCAGTAACAGGGCCTCATTTTACTTGTGCATTATCTTTGTGGCCGACAATGATGTTGACAACCTTCCTGCCTCCTCTTCCCATCAGACCTTTCCATGCTACATCTCTAAATTCACACAGGGCTCTGCATTTTACACACCATCTGATCTTCACACTTTCCAGCACTGCCATTGCCTCTTTCCTTGTGATGTTTCCCCCCCCCCCCGTCTCCCTTTTTATAAGTATCCACTTTCTTCTACATCATCTTTGATTCCTCCAGATCACTATTTCTCAGTCCACGGCTCCTCTGCTTCCACCTTCAGCGATCCTGTCTAGATCCTGTCGCTTAGCTTTCCTACCTCATCCACTTTTTCATAAAACACCTCTTTCTTCTCAGCTTCCATCTGCCTTCACACAGGTCCTTCTGTTTCTACACGCTGTGGGGTGAATTCCCCGCCTCGCCCCCCCCCCCCAGCAGCAATGACCTTTCATGTTCCTCACGGTAGCTGGACTGTTTGTGAACACTCTTGATGATTACAATGCCATTCCATCACAGCAGCTCAGCCAAGGCATCACACCTGCGGATAGGTGCCCATGGCTGGCCTATTATCTACAGTAGTACCTCGCAAGACGAATGCCTCGCAAGACGGAAAACGCGCAAAACGAAAGGGTTTTTGGTTTTTTGAGTTGCTTCGCAAGACGATTTTCCCTATGGGCTTGCTTTCCAAGACGGAAACGTCTTGCAAGTTTGTTTCCTTTTTCTTAAAACCGTTAATACAGTTGCGACTTGACTTCGAGGAGCAACTCATAGCACGCGGTGTGGTAGCCTTTTTTGAGGTTTTTGAAGACTTTGGTGATTTTTGAAGCTTTTCCAAAACTTTTCCGACACCGTGCTTCGCAAGACGAAAAAACCCGCGGGACGAATTAATTTCGTCTTGCGAGGCACCACTGTATCTTTTTTGCCTTTTCATTTAAAATAATACTTATTTTAAGAAAGATAAAGATGTGTAATAATCACATAAAGTACAACTTTTGAAGACCTTTGCAGTGAAGATGCAGAGATAGAAAAACATGCTAACATTTCATCCAATTTGTCGGCCAACAGCACATGTGCCAGCAGCTGTGGAATAATGTAATTACTTATGCTTATCAGTGCCAGACGCTGCAGGAGGCCAGGATATTTCCCCCTCAGCACGTTGTAATACTCCAATTATTACGTTGCAATTTAGACTTCTGCCCCATGCAAGCTGGCATTAATCCCAAATCAATCTGACTACACTGTTTTTCTTCTGTAGAGGGATGAATTATATTCTTTCACTGCCTCACACTTAATTAAAATCTCTCTCTCTCTCTCTCTCTCATACACACACACACACACACACACACACACACACAGAGTAAATTAACTGAGCAAGGACTACTTTGCTTACGTGGTTTGTCAATGGAATACAAGATGAGGTCTTCCCACAGTTCTGCATCATCTTGCTCCTTAGCAAATTCAATAGCCTTATCCACATCGTATAATTCCTCCATGATCATCTTCAGAGCACTTCGACTATTGCCCATTCTGCCTAAAATGACAAAGGAAACCAGGAATTGTGAAAGAACAGCACACCGCCACCAAGCTAAGCTAGGCCTCAGGGTTTAGGGGAAACAACATCCTCTGTTATAATGTCTAAAACCTTTTCCACTTCCGGCTTATATTTTAATAACACGAATGATAAATTAAATTAAATTAAATTAATTAAATTAAAGCAATATATTTCAATCCCACTGAAATAAATGGGTCCTGTGTATGTCTTAATAGTTGCTTGCTGAACTGAGCTACATCTGTGATTTGTGTCCAGAGATGCAGGTTCATCCTGGGGAGAGCAGACTAAGGTTGCAATCCTATACAGACGTACTGGGAAATCAGCCCCACTGAAGTCAATGGGACTCGAGAAAACATGCATAGGATTGAGCTGGGAAGCTCAGTACGCACTAACAAGGTACAGCACAGGCCATTTCAGAATCAGGATGTGCCCCTGCAAGGTTTTAACCTGAACTGCCCTGCAGGACAAAAGGACCCCAGGCAAGGTCATGCTCAGCAGCATCTCCTTAACAGCCATGGCCATCATTGAGCAGCAAGGACAGGCACATACATGGCATTGGTGGCAAGAAATCATGGAACTGAAGGGTTAGAAAGGATCCCCAAGGGCCATCTCAACTAGGGCCAGGGCCTTTTCAGTACTGGCCCCGACTTGGTGGAAAGAGACCAGGGCCCTGCGAGACTTGACATCTTTCCACAGGGTCTGCAAGACAGAGCTGTTCCACCTGGCCTTTGGTTTGGACTCAGTCTGACCCTTATGTTTCCCTCCCCTTATGGTTTGGATCTATGGGATATTATTAAAATGAGGCTGCATTTTAAATTGTATTTTTAACCTGTATTTTAAACTGTTTCCCCCCCCTCCCCTATTATGTTTTTATTGTAATTTTACTAGTGTTAGCTGCCCTGAGCCCGGCTCTGGCCGGGGAGGGTGGGGTAGAAATAAACAACTTCTTCTTCTTCTTCTTCTTCTTCTTCTTCTTCTTCTTCTTCTTCTTCTTCTTCTATTATCTAGTCCAACCCCCTGCAATGCAGGAATCTCAACATCCTTCCATGCAGATATCTGCCACAGTCTTAAGAATCTGCATTTTTCAAAACCAGGACTTTTATGTCTGGGTTGATAGATGGTACCTAGAGCTTACACCAGTATGGGATCATAATATTGGTTTTAATATCTCTGGGGTGGGGGTGGGGGGCGTTTAAGACACCTTGCCTGGTCATGAGCTTTTAGGATCAGCAGGGATACAATGTAAGAACCTGTTCCGAGAAATACTCAGTTGAGGATGTCACCTTTTAATAAAAACAAAACCACCAGGTCATTGCTATTAATCAAAATGCAGCTACTTACTCAAAAGATAAACGGTCTCTTCTACAAAGTTCCTTTGCTGACAGATTTCAAGAGCCTGGGATTTCAAAAGGAGAAAATTAATATGACCACAACTTAAGTTATCAACCAGCCTGTCTCTGCCGTAAATTAGCAGCACAGCCCCTGTACTCAGAAATAAGTCGCACCAAGTCCAGTGGAATAACAGCCAAAAAATATCACCAGTGCTCCCAAAGTACTTTTCTATAAAGGCACATAATTCATGTAACAGAAACAGTAAATATTTATAAAAATATGGACTAAGAATAAAAGAAAAGTAATTACAGCCAACATCTGCTTGAGTTTCTTAAAGAACAACACTACCAAAGAATGAAACAAACCTGTAAGTCATGCATTGTTCCCCAAATAAAGGCTTTCTAAAGTATATTTCGTAACTACAGAATCTCCTGAATTTTTTTATCAAGCTCCATGTACAGAAGCTAATGCTTGCCTTCCTAAATGTGGAAAGGAAATCTGACACCCCCCAGTTTAATGCTAGTCTGTGAAGCATAATTGAGCCAGACGCTCTCTATCCCTTGTATGCCTCAAGAGGCTGCTGTGGAAATGGAATGGGATGGCCACCATGTATGAGCTTCTTGGGCAAAGGGGCTGCGTGCCTACGTGATTAATAACCGGGGCTATAGCTCAGTGGCAGAGCTTTCGTTCTGCATGCTGAAAGGCCGCAGGTTCAATCCTTGCCATCTCCAGACTGTCCCCTGCCTGAAGGCCTGCAGAACAATTGCCAGGCATTGTGTTTCTCAAACCCTGGGTCCCCAGCTGCTTTTGGACTACAGTTCCCATCATCCCTGACCACTGGTCCTGATAGCTAAGGATGATGGGAGTTGTAGTCCAACAGCAGCTGGAGAGCCAGGGTTTGAGAAACACCACATGTAGACAATTCCGAACTGGAAAGACCAATGGTCTGACTTGGGGTGAGGTGCCTAGGTTGTCCCTACAATAATAAACATGTCCCTTGCCCAGACAGATAAATTCCTGCATTTCATCAACATTTCATTCCACGCTCACACGACAAACACCTCAGTCATAATTGTAACAAAAACATCTGGCGGAGTGAACAAAAATCGGGGGGGGGGGATTAAATATTAAAAACCTCTAATAATATTTAAATTAAGAACAGGATGAAATACATGTCTGAGTCATCATGGTACTTAAAGTCAAGATCTAAACCAATGTGGTTTTCATGCTTTCCAGCAGATGGCAGCATAACACACAGAGTAGCCAGAATAAGTCGGGTCACAATTGCAAACTGAAAAGCCACAGTTGGTACCAGTTTTGTTGAGATCAACTAAAATGTGACAAAGACATGGGTGGGTGGGATGGGGGAACCTTGCAATTGGAAAAAGAAGAAGGAAAAGAAAAAGAGAAAAAGAAAAAGAACTTCCCTAAACCCACTGCTAAATAACCAACAGCTTTAATATTTATCAAAGAAAATAGAGAGGGGGAAAAGATACATCTAAAGGATTTTTCCTCACCTTTTCTAAAGGGCAATGTGTGCTGTCTCTGAGAAACGGAAGTAAATTTGGCCGGTCATATTCAGCATACAGACTGATCTGTTTCTCATGGTACTTTTGTCCTTTGTGATGGTCTCTCTTGAACAGCTTGTGCAAGTACTACAAAATCAACCCAAAGAACGAAAAAACAGAAACATCCGTGATATGGCCATAGTACCAAACAGGCGCTCCAGACTAATCTTAACACCTGACCCAAGACCTGCAGCTCCAGAGGTGCAATTCCCCAAGGAAACGGGGTAAAATACTACTGCGTCCAGGTGTTACAGACCCCTCTAGCATTGCTGACCAATACCAACATGGGGAATGAAGTGATGGTGTGTTTGTGGTGGGGGGAGATTGCATCAAATTATCCATAGTGGGAAAGAGCTGATTACCTTTCCCCAGCCCTAGCAATTCTTTTCACAAATAACCTCACTCCAGGCACTACTTTATTCCTCCGAAATCTAGCTGCAAATGCAGCTTGCACACTGGACTCAAGAGGTTGCTGGTCTCCAACTCCCATCAGCCCCCAGCCAGCACAGCCAATGGCCAGAGGAGATGGGAGGGGTTGGCATTTGAAAGGGAGAATCAGTGGAGGATAGTTAAACACGCCTCTCACCCTCCACTCCTGTCCAGGAAGGGCTCTGTACCCTGATTATCTCAGCAAACCTGGGTCTGGAACCACGCAAAGCTCATCTTGTCTGCCCCTTGGTCCTAAGCCACAAAAGACAGCTTGAAGTGGTAGGTCTTACAATACTCTTGAAAGGCGCTCAGGCTAGGATGTGGCTGACTATATCCAGAGACTGGGAAGGAGCAGCCTCCGAAAATATTTCACTTTGCAACAGTGATGCCTTAACATCTGTTGCTGATGCACAGGCGTGTCCTTGGTATATCTCGGGGCTATAACAGAACACACACAGGGAAGGAGGGAGGCTTTTTGCTAGGCTAGTCCTGAAGTGTTTTGGATTCATACAGTGATAAATCTTACTTCTCTTGGGAGTATGGACAGCTGTTTTACTACAGAGCAAGTGGTCCAACACGCAGCCCAGGAGCCGCATTCGGCCCTCAAGGCCTTTTTTTTTGGCTGCCCTCAGCAACATTTGACCCCCAGGCCCCCCCAGCTCTTGCGCTGCCTTCCCAAAGCCAGGTAAGAGAGGTGCTGGGACTTGGGAAGTAGGAGAGAGGCTCTGATAGGGTCCTAGAGTCCTTCAACCTCCAAAGCCTACTTAGCACTTTCCCAGCTTTGAGAAGAGGGTGGAAGGGCTCTAGGACCCTGCCAGAGCCTCACACCTCCTTCCCAAAGCCCAGTGCCTCACTTATCCTGTTTTGGGAAGGCAGCATGAGTCAAATGACCTTGTGCTTCCCCACCTTCCTGACAAGGGTGTCCTGTGGGTTCCGCATCGAAGTACTCTCGCAGCCCACTTGGTATGAAAAGTTGGGCTGCCCTGCTATAGAGGGCCTAGCGAGCACAGATTTTGTGGGCAAACCATTTATTTTACTCAGTGTGGTTCCTTACTGACGTGACTAATGAAATGTCTCCCCACAACCAGCGTCTTTTGAGTGTCAGTTATGAAAGTATTCTCCCCCACGCCAATTGCAACACCGCTGTTGGAAGTTGGAGACCTGTTCAGTTGCCATTGAGGATATTTATCAGTTCATGCCTCTGATTGCACCAGGAACACACCTGTTGAAATCTGCATGGAAACCTTAAACCGCCACTTACCACATGCTGCAATTCAGGCCTGTTTTTTAATTCTTCCACCACTTTATCAATCTAAAACGAAAAAGAGATAAGATACGAAAAGATAAGAAAAGTTGGCTTCTGGGCCAAATCTCTTGCTCACAGAGAGGGATAGGAAGTAGCCAGCCAAAACATAACGAAATGGTTGTACTCACAGAGATCTTGTCTTCATTATCCAAAAGCATGTCAACTGCTTTCTAAAACAAACAAAATGCCCATGGCAGATAAGAGATATGTAAAATCACAATTTAACACAGTTATATGTACATACAGATTTTGAACGAACTTCCTCTGTCTTATGAAAAAGAAAAAAAATGCTATGCAGTTTATAGTGTGTGTTGGGAAGGAGACAGCAGGACTGTCGGTGGAAGAACAAGATGCTTGCTGGTTTTATTACAATATGGCTACAAGCGTATGTGGGGCTTCCACAGCCAGCGAAGACAGATGGTGCTTGATGAGAATGCAAAATGTTTTCCGGAATTTGGCTGGCAGTGGAAGAGTGTCACATGTGCTGGATCTATATAGGCATACAGAACACGTATTAAAGGTGAAAGCCATAACAATGCAAATTCTCTGCGTAAAGTCCTATTAAACTAAACGCAATATTTAGTGGCTTTCATCCCAAGGCCTCCTCAAGGCTATGTTCACCCTCAGAAAGGGGGGCTGAAGATCTGCACAACTCATTATTGCAGTGCTCTTTTCACTGCAGTTAGAAGTGAATGGCTCAACCGGGAAACAGTGATGGGAGTTGTAGTCTACAACATCTAGATACTGCCAGAGTTGGTCCTATTTTAAATGCTTACATCTGCCTTAAGACGTGAGAAACAGCTGCTGTCACATAAATGAAAGCAGGTTCCAATGCTCAATGCCTCTGACGCTCCCTGTCCAAAGCTTTCCCAACACTTGAGAGTTTTTGGTCAACTGATCGAAAGCAAAGAGGATTTTTTCCAGGCACACAACTTTATTTTTTGAACACAGGTTAAAGAATGGAGAGCTTTCACAAGTAGATTAGCCAACGGAAAATTGGGGAAATGGCGAGAATATCTACACTGCATGTGTGATGTGTGCTAAATTAAAACTGTTTCTTCAAACAATTAGCACTTTGGTTCATTAAGTGACATATTTTGGGGAAAAGGTTATAGGGATCTTCAAAAAGGACCTATTTTAAATTTCACAATGTCTGGATTCCTGCTGTTTATATTTGGCTCTTCCACCTAGATTTATGGATGCAAAGAACACAAAATATGATTTCCCCAAGGTTATATGACTATTTTCTTTTCCTTAATGTCAAACAATAAAGGTTTTCCCCCCAAAAGCATTAGGGTAAAAACAAACTCACTGTAAAAAGTTTTTTGTGAAACTATAACCAATTCAGCCATTTGGTGTCGACATTCTCACACATCAGTTTATCCAAAATATGAAGTTCACTTGGTTAAATAATATTTTTTCCTATCTGCTAAAATTCTTACAGCCAAGAGTATATAAAAAAAACCCCCACCACTTTAAAGCCATCATACCTCTGAATCAAACTCCATTAGCAGAACAATTTTGTCCCTGATGGAGCTGAAAAGATTGTGTTTGTGGATCAGCTGGAAAACATCTTTATGTCTCAGTGTGAGATAAATTTCAAGGGCCTTTCCGTAGCGTTGGTCATAGGTGTACCTGAAAAAGAGGATCATACGTTATGAATAGACCTAGATGTGGGCCTTTTGAAAAAGTCATCCACCAGCAAGAAATCACAGTTTTGCTAAAAGCTTGACACAAATTGCTTAAACATTGGGCCATCATTTAGAATAATGGAAAATACTTTTCTTCCTTATATATATATATATATCTATATGTATTAGAAAAGTAATTGGATGCAATTCTCGGTTCTTCATTGTTCTTGTGTACTGGACACCAATGACCCATAACCCAGGGCCCATCTTCTCATTAAGAAACATTTCAGAGGTTGCCACAAGCTTCACACAAACGGTGAAGAATTGCACTTCAACACAGGAATATTTGTAGGGGTGTATTTCCCTTCACCTAGACATCCTTATAAAGGCTTTCTTTTGGGTAGGGGTGCGGTGGGAACACGATGACCTGGTTCATACGTCACAGTAAACCAAACTATGGCTTCCTGGAACCATGCAAATAAATCTGGGCTGCAGCTCATGGTCAGCAAGGAGAAAGCTTAGCTACAAGACTGGGTTGGGATGACACGCAGAGTCAAACCTTGGCTTAGCTCAGTACAGTATACCAGTATACCTGAAGGAGCGTCTCCACCCCCATCGTTCTGCCCGGACGCTGAGGTCCAGCGCCGAGGGCCTTCTGGCGGTTCCCTCATTGAGAGAAGCAAAGCTACAGGGAACCAGGCAGAGGGCCTTCTCGGTAGTGGCGCCCGCCCTGTGGAACGCCCTCCCACCAGATGTCAAAGCGATAAACAACTACCTGACATTCAGAAGACATCTTA